AGGCTGGGTTAGCTGCTGCCAGAACCTCCAATGGATGACTCTAGTTAACTGTTTAAAAAAAGCCTCTAAAGAAAGTGCCCTCTGCAGGGGTAGGCAAGAGAACCATGTGCCTCATCTACATACGGAATTTTTCGGCTTTTAACCCTTGCTTTACTCTGGTCAAGTGATCATAAAGATAGACTAAAGGAGGCACATGGTTCTCTCACCTCCTCCTGCAGAGGGCACTTTTTTTAGAGGCTTTTTAAAACAGTTAGGCACTAAGCAGAGTCATCCACTGTAAATCTCGCAGCAACTACCTCAGCCTTTTTCCTTTTTTCCTTTCATGATGACAGTGGTGAGGCCCTGTCTCCCCTGCCTCCCCTGACTGCACATTCCTGATACAATGTACTGTATATGTACCAGGGGTGGGTTCCTGCTGGTTCTAACCGGTTCGCTAGAAGAGGTTCCACAAATTTAGGGTGCCATTTAGAACCGGTTCCAGTGGTGGAACGCCCCCTCACTCGCTCACCCCTGGGCCCTGCTCATCTGCTCACTCCCTCCGCCCATCTACATCACGCCTCTAAGAGCCCTAAAGAGAGCCCTTGGCTCTCTATTGCTGCCTGCCGAGGAGGTAAGTAACATCTTTGCTGGCACCGCGGCTTTTGGGGCTAATGGGACTTGGGTTTCCAGCCCAATAGCCCCCGCCACTTCTAGATGTCTATTGCAGTCGCAGATAGACATCTAGAAGTGCGGAGAAGAATGTGAATGTTGTCAGAGCTTTGGGAAGCTGCAAAAGTGGCTGGGAGAGGCGCTTGGCTTGGTTTAGCCTCCCTGGATGTCACAGCAGCAGCCCCAAACATGCCAATCTCAGAGTTTTTTGCATAAAGGTGTGCTGCAAGAGGGAGTGAATGAAGACCTTTTCTGGCTGGCGCAAAGGACTTCCCCGGACTTGCTATGCTGAGCATGGGCAATGGGCCTGTACCTCCACCACCAGCAATCCAGAAAAGGTCTTCACTTCCTCCCTCTTGCAGCATGCCCCGATGTGAAAACCGCCGAGATTGGTGCACTTGGGGCTGCTGCAATGTCCAGGGAGGCTAAACCAAGCTGCACGCCTCTCCCAGCCGCATTCGCGGCTTCCCGGAGCACTAAGAACCTTCACATTCTTCTCCACACTCTCCTCGACTCCTTATGACTGCAATAGACATCCAGAAATGGCTTTTGGGGCTAATGGGGCTTGGGTTTCCAGCTCAACAGCCCCCACCACTTCTGGATGTCTATTGCAGGCGCAAGGAGCTGAGGAAAGCCCAGATAGCTGATACCAGATCAAAGTCCAGCGGGGGCAGGAATGTAAAAACAATGCCTACTACTCCCTTGCAAGGAGAGTGAAGGAAACCGCCTGAGTCTCTGCTCCCCACCTCATCTGTCTGGAGCCGCCAAAAGCTTTTGACTCTGGTTGCTGTGCTGCTTTCCCGCATCCCTGAAATGTGACTCTGCATTCTCCCTTTCCTTCGCCCTCCTCTAGGTTTTACCAGCCATCTTAAAGAGAAATGAATTGTCAGACCTGCGCAGCCCTGAGCAATGTGGCTCTCTCCAGGTAAGCACCTGCTCTCCTTCATGCTGTTTTTTTTTTGTTGCTGAGGGGCAAAAGGCGAGTGGGGCACCCCATTTAGCAAAGTTCAACAGGGGGAGAGGTAAATGGCTCTCCTCACCTTACAAACATTCCTGTTTGCGTGGGTAAAACAATATACCTTAGTTCTGGAAAGGGCAAGTCAGTTCAACTTGATTTTTAAAAAAAGCTTGTTGTTGGACTTCTAAGTGTTGAAAGATAGTGCTTGCTCCTTCCTTGCACATACTGAAAACAAACTTGAGTAGTTATGTCGATTTAATGTGACATTTTGCAAGGACTGGGAAATCTCTCATGCAGTCTCTGAACAAGAAAAATGTATTTGCAAGTTAATGGGGGAAACAGGTGGGCAAATTATAATCTTAAACTTTTTTTGGCTTACTATACAGATAATTTAGTGCAAAGCCGTGCACAACAGTATTAGATTTCTGNTCATTTGTCACTGTGATTAAGCAAACCATGTAGTCATTAAGCAAATCCACCATATCCAATGTATATTTTTTGCCATTTTATGCTGGATACTTATGCATATATTAGCATCACCTTTTAAGTTGCATTGCATTACTGAAATAAATGAATTTTTGCACGATATTCTATTTTTCGAGTTTTACCTGTACCATGAAGGGTTTTTTATTTCTCCTGTTGAATTGTCCCTGAAATTTTGGGGAAAGTTTTTTCAAACTGATTTGCCATTGGCTCTTCCCCAGGACTGGCAAAATGTGACTGGCCAAAGGTCAGTCAGCTGGCTTTGTGCCCAAGGTGGGATTAGAATTCAGAGTCTTATTCTCAAACTTCTGCCTGGATGTATTCAATTCCAGCTGACTGAAGCTTTTAAAATCAATTGTATGCTGCGCTGGTCTTTTTTCCTTTCTGGATTACTGAATATAAATTATGTATCTATACACAGTTGAACTGAATGCTGAGAATGAATAATTTAACAATTTGCATGACATAAAATTTAATTCCTTAAAGCGGTACTTCCCCCGTCTCTGTTTAAGGTACTATGAAATATAGAGAAATTATATAAACCAAGGAATTAATATTAGTAAAAGAGGTTCTCCCAAGGAAGGTATGGGGAATGGCAGAGAATATTGCATCACTCTGAGCTGATTTCTATCTTGTACTGCACAGAAACTGATCACAATATGTATGTATAGACACCTCCACACACCCACACACACATACATGTGTACAGGCGCACACACACATAGACATATACACACTTTTATCTATAATATTCCTAATATTTACATTGTGTGCAGAAACTATTGGGCATTCTTTTTCAAACTCTTTTTGGAACTCATATTTTCCAACTATGCACTTTTTAATGAAATTTTTGAGGAGGAAATGATGGATCCTTGGGAATCTATTTCCTGCTGACAGTACCAGATGGAATCTGTTCTGGCACAGCCACCCAATTATCTTCCACGGGAAACCACATTGGGATATTTTTTTTTACATTCCTACTTCTATCAGAGTTCTGATCTTCTGACAGCTTTATGAACTATGTAGACCTCTTTAACTTTTCTGCCTATAGAAAAACAACTAAGAAAAATAAAAAAAGTGATGGTCTGCCATCTGGTGGCTTTTGTATAACTTTCAGCCACTTGAAATAAAAGGAGCTGTCCAAATGCAAGATTCAATTTGTCATGACATTTTGGGTTATAAAAGCTCAGATGAGAAAGTGAAGGGGAATCAGAGAAACTGGTATAAATTAATAATTAAAAGTGATGTGCTTCAGTGACTGCCTTACATATCAGAAAGCCTCTAATTCAAGTCTCATCTCAAGTAAAAAAATCTCTTTTAACAAGACAGCGTTCCCTCAATTTCAGTTTCATAGCGTGAAATAGGGAGCGTTACAAAACCTTGGGTGCAATTGGAAAATTTAGCGTGGCTTCCTTAAATACCTGATAAATAATATTAGTATTTGGTTAATTTTAATCTTATTTGTATTTAATTACATTTAATATTGTTCTAGATCCACCCACTTCTTTGTCTTCTAACGTTTTAAAGTGTGGTTGCTAAAACTGCAACCTCACATACTCTTCTTGTTTCAATAAATAAAGCCTATTTATTCTTGGTCTGAATTTGTTCAGCTATACCACATGGATAGTTTCATATTTCACAGCTAATGGTAAACGAGAAAGGTTCTCAGAGAAAAAGCTCTTGATTATTCCAATATTTGGCCTATAATACAATTCCAAATTTTCTCATGGGAGAGGCAAGAAATAGAATAGTAGGGATAAGAATCCAAGACAGCTGAGTTAAAAATCTCTCAACAAAAAATCTCCTGTTAAAACAAATGGAAATGCTGAGTGGTCAAAAGGACAATCAAGACAATACAAGGTTATACAACTGCAGTTGGTTTTTGGCAAAACAATTCATATTCCTGGAAGGGATTAGGTAACTTGCAGTAAATAGTAAACCCTACTCATCTCACATTATTTTAGCATGGATAGTGTTTGGAGAGAATCCAGAGATGCTCTCTTGAAGTCTTTGGTAGAAATAATTATGAGGTTTCTAGAACATTTCTTTTTAGCACTAGAAATTTTAATATCCACACATTTCAGAATTTGTGCTTCAATGAAATGTTCCTTCTTCAGAAAGGTGTAAGAATTCTAGCATAGCTGCAGTGAAGCCAGAGAAAACTCACTTGCACTCAATTTCCCTGAAAGTCACTCTTATCATCCTTGAATTGCATTGTGTTTTCCTATCAATTATTGAACAGACCATTACACTTGGTTTCTCATTTTTATATATAGACCAGACCTGGCCCTATTTATATTTCCAGATGAACTTGAAACATTCAATTTATTTGATTTGGATGAATCCATTTGGAACATCAGGAAAAAGAGTATGTGTGCACAAAGCCTGTCAAATTTCATTCTGATATTTGAATTTGTTTCAGAGATTCCTTTGGAAATGGAATCAATTCATCAAATTGATGACACTGCTTTTGAAAACAATTTCCAATTCAAATCTTCACAGACTTATATCAGTTTTTAAATTAGAATGCCCCTCAAGATACTTGATAGTGAAACAGAAAAGTAGAAGCAATACACAAGTTTTTTCTATTGCCTTTTTCCATTTTAAAAAAATTCTCAGCCTATTATATAACTTTGTAATTTTTTTACCAAATTACAAACTAAATGAATCCCTGCTTAGTGTTTCTGAAATCAGCCAATAGTAGTTGTTTCTTCTTTCATATAAAATGTTTCCTATCTTTCTCTTCTATGGTAACTGAAGTTCATGAAAGACATCTGGGAAAAAAGTGAAAAATGCTACAGTGACATTATAGTTGATCTATTTATCTAATAACAGCAGCAGCAAGGATAAATGAGATCAAGCATCTGTCACATTCCCTTTCCTTTCTTCTCATATGACTCTTTATAGATGTGTGAATGTTATGTGATAGAAAACAACATATCAGACACATCTGAACTGGTCTTCCCTTCTTCTTTCCTACAGCCATTCTTCAGTTAGACTCACTGCTCTTCCGCTTTTCTACAAGAACCTCTGTCTAGTAGCAGAGAAGAATGAAAGCACACTTCGGAATACCAATTGGGAGAATGTATTAAGTTTGATTGGAGGCAGAAATCTTTATAAGAGCACAGGAGATATATAACAGAGCAGATAGTAACCTCAACTCTAGAGATTGGGCTGGATGTGCTCCCGTATGCACAAAAAATTTGGGCTTTGCTTCCTCTATCAAAGGCGTGCTTGGGAAGGTGTATCAGGAAGGCACTGATTGGTAGATATAGCTATAAACATTCTGAACTGAACCAGCACTCTACAAGGAAAACAAGCAGGCAGCAAGAGCTTTGGTTCCACCACAAAACCGCGGACGACAAAATCGCGCTCGACGAAAGCTCGTACGTGATGTCATCACAGCACGACGAAAACATCGCTCTGTGATCGATAAATGTAAAAATAAAGCGAAAACCTTACCCTAACCCCCCCAAACCTAACCCTAAACCTAACCCTTAACCTAACCCTAAANCATTTGGTGGGATTTCAAAGCATTGGAAAGTTGTGGGAGTACTTTGGAACATCTGCTTCATTGACCAGATCAGGGGGAGTGCTCAGAGCCCTGTAAAATAACTTGCCAAGCTTTAGTAAAAAAGCTAGGACTGCATGATACTTTGGATTCTGTTCCAAACAAAGTACTGAAGAGAATACGAGACTATAAATATAGTACCCACCCACAACTCTTTAAAGTAGATATTTCATGAATCTAGGAAAAAGGTGCCGCTGCTTTAAAAAGTACCAAGTAGATGCTATGGGGTTTACATTCCTATATATTCAAAAACAATTCATAGACCTAACAAACATTATTATTTAATGAATTTAAGTAGTTGTCATTGCTTTGAAATTAAATTCAGATGTATGGATCCCTCTTTTCTGTGTAATTTATACCTCTATCTTGACTGGGAATGCTGACATCATCTTGGCCAGTCCCTCCCAGTCATTCCCTCCCAGTCACATGACTGCCAAGCCACTCCCACAAAGCAGGCCACACCTACAGAAGAGATTCTAAAAATTTTTGAAACCCACCACTGATATGTACATAGGGCAGATCAGGCCGAATGTGACTGACATTTTATGAAAAAGAAATATCAAGTGTAAGCAACTGTTTTGAACAGTTTTCTCAGTGTTCATCATCTTCATTGCTTTGATACTTTGAATTTTTAAATGCGTTCCTATGTTCTGCTTGCTTGGTATTAAACAGCTGCCCAGTTTCTCCTCCTTATACTTTCCAACCAAGTGTGATGAAATGTAATAATTGGTAGACTATTGCAATTCTATGGCTTTTTGGAAACTATTTCATTCAAGCTTTTCTTCTTTTGTCCCTCAAGGACAATCCGAAAAGCAACAAAAATGCTGAAAGCAAAAATAGCAAGCAAGAATACATTATTGGAAGATCAGAAGAATTTGTCAGATGTCAAGAACAAAAACTCATGAAGAAAAAAGTGCACAGAAGACAAAAGTAACTGCAACAAAAGTGCTACTCACTATCTATGAAACCCTGTAAGAATGTATAAATAAATAAGAGAATCAGAGTGGAGTTATTAAACATTATATAAAGTGCTACTGCGAACCACAAAAAACATGAAAAGCATAGTGCTTGAAGCCAGTTCAATTATCTTCTTTTGCTGTCAAGAATAAAATCCCACTAGTCATGGACCTGCTCCCCTATTGCAGTGGTGAAATTCATTTTTTTTTTTTTACTACCGGTTCTGTGGGCATGGCTTGGTGGGCGTGGCAGGTGAAGGATACTGCAAAATATCCATTCCCAACCCACTCTGGGGCCAGTCAGAAGTGCTTTTTGCTGGTTCTCTGAACTACCGGTACTCAAAATTTCTGTTACCAGTTCTCCAGAACCTGTGAGAACCTGCTGGATTTCACCCCGACCTATTGGATATAGTTAGCATCTTGTGGGGCAAGTGTCTATATTTACCCAAGGAAAAGATATTCCTCAGGTCCTACCTTCACCATGATGGGAGCTGTAGAAGCCACTATACCAAGTTCTATGTACTATGTGTAGCTTTGATGGTGTGTTACAGCATATAGGTTTGAGTTGTCCACCCTATCTTTTTATTTAGCCCATTATGTATTTGTCAGGCAGCCATTGGTACTGGATCTTCTGTAAAGACTTCTTTGGTGTCCAATAGTGAGGGAAGAGATTTTCTCCTTTTCTTCCCTTTGTTATAAAGTGGAAATTTTTCTGGGTCATATTGTGGTTTCTTCAGAGGAAAACCGAATATCCATTATGTCTGAATGTATGATTACATTAACAAAAGTAATTTTATTTGTAAGGGAAAGGGATAAGTTTATTTAAGGTTCATGTTGAGAAAGATAGGAAAAATGAAAATTGACAATCCAGAACCCAGACAGGGTTTGCAGCCCAGACAGGTCTGTCTTTTCTGGAAAGAAGTTCCAAATAACCTCATCAGAGTTGAGTTATGCCCACTGATCATTCATGAATTTGGACTTATGGTTTTGTTATTTCTTTTTTATCCAGATGGCCTTTGAATATAGGACCTTTCATCTCCCTCAGGGTCACCCTGAATCATCCACAGCAATGTAGATGTCGGACAGATTGGTGAGTAATAGCAATAGCATGTAGACTTATAGTATATACTGCTTTACAGTGCTTTACAGCCCTCTCTAAGCAGTTTACAGAGTCAACATATTTCCCCCAACAATCTGGGTTCTCATTTTATCAACCTCAGAAGGATGAAAGGCTGAATCAATCTTGAGCCAGTGAGGATCCAGCTCCTGGCAGTGAGCTGAATTAGCTTGCAATATTGCATTCTAACCACTATGCCACCATGGCTCCTCCAATAATACTCATTAGTATTATATAAGTACCTAAGTATACATTAATAGAGCTCCTTGAGATCTTCC